AAAAAAAAAAAAAGAAAGAAAAAAACAATAATAATAATAATAAATGTTGTGTTTTATTTATGATCAAATGTTAATTTTTTTCTTTTTTTTTTTTTTTGTTACACAATTAGCGTTGTCCAATGATTAAATATAGTTTTCTTTTTTTTCTTTTTTTTTTTATAGTTTTTATAAAGTTTTGTAAACGTGATGGAATCTTTTTTTTTTTTTTTTAAAAATAAGCATTACTCGATTGTAAAAGTTTTTTCAATTCTTCCTGGGCGTGTCATAAATGGCACAATATGCGTTTTTGATCGTAGAGAGAACGTGGAAAGTGCATCGCAACCGTTGGCTTTGGACTCTTGAGAGACTCTTCCGAGTCTTCTTTTTTTTTTTACCAACTTCAGTTTGTTAGTTTCTGTTTTGCGAGTCGGACCCGACACGAACGAGTGAGACCCGTAAAAAAATTTCGATTTGCCGATGAAAAATTCGTTAAATATTTAAATAAAAAAAAAATAAATTATTCGGTTTTTAATTATTATTATTATTATTTTTTTTTTTGACGAATTCTCGGACCTTGACCTTTTTTTTTTTGTTGTTTTCGCCACTGTCATAGTTTTGTTTAATGCCCAACTTAATTCAGTATCTATGTTCGTCGGTAGGTTTTTTTTTAAGAGTCGGTTTTAAACTAGTTTGTATGTAAAAATCCTAGGTTACGATGTTTATATGGAGGTCGAAAATGATAGGAGAGATATCAAAAGATTAGCATGATCGTAACCGTTAGAAAATAAAAAAAAAAAAAAACTAGATTCTTATTTTCCAGGCGAAACGTGGAAAAAAAAGTATGCAAGGAAATAATAATAATAAATATATTTAGTAGGAAAAAGTAAAATTTTGAATAATAATAATAATAATAATATATTTTAGTTGAAAAACTTTCGATGTATCTTTTATAAATGTTTGTAAAAGTTTAAAAGTGAATTTTTTTTATTTTATTTATTTATTATTATTTCTTCAAATACAAAATGGATACGAAAAAAAATAATTTTTTTATTACATTTGTAATGATGATGATGATAATTTTTATTATCTCAGGTAAGTGAGTGAAAGTTTTGCATTTGGGTGTGTGTGTGTGAATTTTTGTAAAATATTAAAATTTATAATTAAAATTGAATGGATTTTGATTTAAAAAAAAAAAAAAAGGGAAACGGATGGTTGGTTCACATTAGATTCAATGAAATGTAAATTTTTATGAAAAAAAAAAAAAAAAGAGGGAATTATCGTCCAATGAAAAACTTTAAAAGATTTTTTTTTTTTTGCCTTTAATTATCAATAAAAATTTTTTTTTAATAAATCGAATTCATTAATTAATTTTTTCATTTAAAAAATGGTTTATTTAGTCATTTATTAATAGTGTTTATATATCTCAATAAAACAACACAAAGAAAAAAAAACAAACGTTTTAGTTCGTAAATATGATTTTTAAAATTGGTTTTTTTTTTTTTTAATGCCTTCATCGACCTCGATAAAAAAAAAAAAGTAGAGAAAAAATTTCATTTTTTTCCCTTCAATGCCACCTGGCAATTTCATAATAATATCCAGATATATTGACGAACCGTCGTTATCGATTCCAGTAAATTATTTTTATCCTTTACCTCCAATCGATCGATAATTAATTAACAATTATTGATAAAAAAAAAACCTTCGAAAAAAATAATTATATAAAATTAGAAAGTTTTTTTCATTGTCAATACGGGAATAATATAGTATAGAAAAATTTTGACATAGTTTTTCTTTTTTTTTTTTAACCTTATCTTACTTTCTACCCTTAGGGAACCCTCTTGAATAAAAAAAAAAAAAAAAAAAAAAAAAAAGAAAAAAGTTAACTCAAAATCCACGAACTATTATTGTTCATAAAAAAAAAGGTATTAATTATGTTAATTAAATTTAAATTTAAAACCGGATAAAGAATATACAATTATTAACCATCCGTTACCGTTTTAATTTTTTTTTTTTTACGAATAATATAATAATGATGATAAAATATGTATTTTGGTTTGAGAAATAATTTCTTTGAACTGACGACGTATAATTATTTTGTTTTATCAGGTGAGGTCTTTCTTTTATTACAAAAACGAAAAAAAAAAAATTGTAAAATGGGAATAAAAAAAAAAAATATTATTGTGAAATAGTTTTTTCTTTCGTTAGATGATCACGTGGGAGATGAAATTAAATCTCTTGTAACGCAACAACAGCAGCAGAGACAAATAAAAAAAAAAATTGATAATAAAAACCATTTCTTATAACTATTAACATTTACCCCGTTCTACCACTTTTGTTGTCACATTAAAAACGCAATTAAATAAATCACTGATAATAATAATAATTTTTTTTTTTTTTTTTGATAAATTTTTAAATTCTTATATAAATAAATAAAAAATAGTGAAAACGACAAACACACAGACACACACGAGTTTATTTTTTTTTTTAAATTATTTATGAAATATTTTATATTGAATTTAAAACGTTGACGAAAATGTCTCAATGAAAATGATACATTATTATTATTATTATTATATTACCATGATTTTTTTCTTTTTTTGTTTTAGCAAATGGGGAAAATTATTACGTATGCCCAAGGGATTTTATACTCGTTGACAGAAGCTGTTATTTTTTTAGCACATCTCCCGACACATGGCGAAACGCTTATTTTAATTGCAAAGATAAAAACAGCGAATTGGCTTTGGTGAAAAAAAAATGGGAAGACAAAGCGTTGAGAGGATTTTTAAAAACGGGAAAAATGGGCGAGTACATAAATATATATATATATATGATTTATTAAAAATTTTATTATTGGCAAAGAATTTATAAGTCCCAAAAATTATTTATAAATAATACTACTCTGTTATTATGAGAATCAATAACTTTTACTTTTTAAATATTTTTATTCGAAAAAAAAATGTTTTTGATCTCGATTAAATAAATCATTTGAATTTGTTTCCCTCCCATAAAATAAATACTAAACGCGATTCGAGGGAAAATAAATAATCTTTCATATCAACGGGAATATTAAATTTAATAAAATATATAATTATATATGAAATTTAAATCCCCCCACCCTCTCTCTCTTTCTCTCTCTCGTCTGGTTTGTTTACAACACATTTTCAAATTGCAAAAAAAAAAAATAAAAATAAAAATAATAATAAAATCCAAAAAACCATGGAGAGAGAGAAAGTCGTAAAAAAACAAAAAAGAAATAAAAAAATATTAAAATTTTTTTTTTTTAAATATATTTAACCTTGGTTGTTGTATTGTTTCTTTTTATTAGTTCTTTTACCAAATTTAGTAATTAATATTAATTTGACTCTAAAATAATTAGACCCCTACACTTTTGAACTGTTTTTAAATCATTTAAAAAAAAAACTTTTTTTTTTCTTCTTCTTCTTATTCGTTATAATTGTGATAAAAAAAAAAAAAATTATCCTTTGATGTGCAAATGAATCTAATCAAAGATAATTAATCATTAATTTAAAAAAAAATTCACTGATATAATTTTTGAATCGAAATAAAAAGAAAAAAAAAATTTTTTTTTTTTTTTTAATAAAAGTTTTGCCAATCAATCAAAATATATCCAGGCTTAAAATAAATCTTCTTGATTAAATTAAAAAAAATTTTTTAATATTATTATTATAACACGTGTCTTATAATTCAATATATTATTCATTGATAATAAAAAAAAAAAAATTTACAGGACTTGCTGATAGATGGATCGGTGGTATTTATGATTGGAAAAGTATGAGATGGGTTTGGGGATCCAATGGTCAACCTTTAAGGTACAAAGGTTTCGCTAAAAGAGTTCGTAAAAATTTACACAACAGCAATCACCAATGGAAATGCATAAGCATGAATTCGAGTTTTAAATTCAGGTAAATAACTTAGAAAAATCATTCATCATCATCATCATCATGATTATTATTAATTTTAATTGTTGTTATTAATTTTTTTAGGTGGCAGCCTAAAATTTGCATGAAAGAACTTCAATACATTTGCGAAACTCGGCCTCGAAATAATTTTGTGACCAAATAAAAAAATAAGAAAAAATTCGAACAAGAGTAAAAATATATATATATATTTTTTTTAATAGTTGTTGTAACATGTATAAAATGATTTTTTTTTATTTAAATTAACATTAATTGACTGTTTATAACAGTCGTATATTTTTTGTATATTAATAATAATAATAAAAATTATTTAATTTTTGAAAAGTATTTCTTCAAAAATGAAATACATTCAATTATTATTATTATTATTTATAATTTTTAAGAGATTTTTGTAACCTTGAAATTTGAAAATAATCACGGACAAAGGATGTTGTTTACCTTATATACATATATATTTGTTATAATTTTCTTTTAAAATGACCAAAACTTTTCAAAACTCGTAAAAATCACGATATATATATATAAAAATACGAGAGGAATTTTTTTTTTTTTTCAAATAATAAAATATAATTAAATTTTATTAACAAGAAATCAATAAAAACCCATTTTAAATTCTTTTACTTGCGATTCGAAGCACGCCCATAATATATATATATATATTTCCGCATCATTATTATTATTATTATTATTTTCCGATCGAGTTGAAGGACATTTTTAATATAAGGTAATATAAATTTTTTTTTTTTTTTTTTCAAAACAAAACTATTATTTATTTAATACAAAAACCTGGTAATGAAAACTAATGCTTGTTTTATTACCCGACAAATTATTATTATTATTATTATAAATCGTTAGAACTCGATTTAATATATTTAATAATTTTTTTTTTTAAATTTAATTTAATTTACGTGTGTGAATTATTATTATTATTATTATTTTGTTAATCGGAACCGGAGAACGTGTTAAACGGGTTCTTTAAATTAAAAATTTTGACTTGCGAACGGAATCATATTATTATTATTATTATTACAGCCTTATATGAGATGTGTTACCGGTCAATAGTATCTCTATAGCATTAATTTATTTTTTTGTTATCCAAAATGAATATTCAGGATGCGGATATTCGGTTATTTAAATCAGGTATACGATAGAGACAGATAGATAGATAGATAGGTAGGTAGGTAGGTAGGTATGTATGCTTCGACCGTTATAAAAAAAAAAAAAATAATTGAACAAACGCCAACAAAACAATTTTTTTTTTTTTTTCTGCAAAATAAAATTAAATAAAATTTATGTATAAACGTCAATGATGGGAATACGTGAAATTATTATCAATTATATATATTAACGTGTGTCTATGTTTGAATTTTAAATTCTTTTTTTTTTTTTTATTTACGTATCGTAAATAACGACA